GAAAGCTGAGAAGAACACAACTGTAGAAGAGAAGCTACCCAATATGCAGGTGACGATGGCAGAGACGAGCCACATCTACGGAGGACTAGGTAATAAAAACAAGATTTTCTAATCTTTGCAAACGGAGATTTTAGACTATTTTCACACTGACATTGTGACATGTTTGGGTGTTTAGCTTCAGAGGCAAACCTGGCAGCTAGAGAACAGAAGCGCTACCAGGAAATCGTAAAGAGGAAGAACTTGGAGGAGTTTGCCCGAGCGCAGGGGGAGGAGCTGGCGTTCCTCTGGGCCGAGGTGGAGCGTTTGAGGATGAGGAGCTTTCCTTCACTTGATCAGCTGAAACACAACTGAGCGGAGCCTTCTCTTTAACAAATAATAATTTTATTTACACTTCTCTTAGCAACTTAACATGAAATGTACAACTTAAGCTGCGTATAACAATAGAACAGCAGCAACAAATGAAACAATGAACTTAATAAACATATTTGAAATCTGAACGGTTTTAAAGCTTATTTTTTTTTAGGTAGTGAAGTCCTCCTCTATGCGGTCGAAGTGCAGGATACCGTCTTCCAGGCCGAAGTGGTCAATGAGGCTCGACAGGCTGATTTTTTGTTTGTCTTGGGTGCCATCTGTCTGGAGCTCATAGAGTGCGGCCTGAGCACAACTCCTCCACTTGTCGATCAAGGTTTTGAGCTGCGTTAGATCATTCTGGGGAGAGAGACAGGGAATGTGTCATAAACAAATAACCACTATCAGTCTAGTTAAGCAACATACATGATAAGGCACTTGTGGGTTATCTGTCACACCTTTTTGGTTTTTTTCAGACTCTCTAAATACGCACTTATTTTGTTTGTTTCAGATTCTCTTAATAACCCTAACCCCTAGGATTAATGTTTGTTATTTTGAGAAAAGTTAATGTAAATGCTACCCGCTATTAAAAAGTGGCGACAGATGACCCACAAGTACCGTTGATAATATTCCCGTTAGGAGCAGATTAAAGGCAGCTGATACCTTGCTCCTGTACATGTGAACCATCTTGAGTCTGCGCAGAGTCTCCGTCTTCTCTTTAACCTCCTTCCTTAGTTGGTATGGTTGTTGTGCCATTTCTTTGGAAAGAGAATGTGTTGGCTCGGGATTGGGTCCAGAAAACCTCTCCCTCGCTGATCTCTCATTTTTTCTGTTTACGATCAGTGGAGAGTTATTAACTGTCTCCCTGGAATCTGCTGGAACTTGTCGGCCATCCTCCTCCTCCTCATCAACACAAAGGCGTTTGGCTACAGAGACGGGCGAGGTGAAGGAGCGCCTTGATCTCTTCAGCCTCTCCTTTAGAGAGGAACTCAGCTTTTGTAGATGCTGTAGGGGTGACAGTGAGTGAATGACAGGGCCGTCACACAGAGTGATAATGACAGATGTTGGATTGCATTTTCAACACATTTCGACATAAATCAATTTGATGAAATATTGGGTAATAGTAACAACTAGTAACATGACAGCAAATGTTATTGTCACCTACCTTTTCCTCTTTATATTCACCCGGGCTTGACTCCACTGAATCACAAGGTGAAGAATACACTGATTTTATTTTCTCTGCTTTAGGAGTGACCTCCATCTTGGGAATGTACTTTAACTCATGTGGGCTAACGTTGACTGTTTTTACTTTAGAAGTAGATGGCGTATATTAGAACCTATCGAGATTTAGCGTACTTATAGCTACAAACACGTACAAAAAAACTAACACGAACACTCAATCTTACGAATTTATGAACGCCTCCCTAAAAACTAGCGAGCAACGAACATATTTTTTACAAAACGCTAAATTACGAATCAAAACTTTAACCGCGGAGTGAGTTGTTTCTGTTTCCTGTTGCTGCTCAAGAAAACCTCCAAAGTCAGTGATTGGACATAATTTGATGACGCGTTAGCGAACAGGATCATGGGAACTGTAGTTGATACCGGCTTGATACTTTACAGTGCAAACCACTGCTTTTCAAACCCAAAATGTCGATGTTATTCCTTTTACCTAAAACCTAAAACACAAGAATTCATCACATCCCTCTCTTTGGGTTGGTACATTATATACATGCTAAATAATTGGATGGATGGAATAAAACAGTTTATCTTACCTAAACTCAAACTACTGTAGTATATTATAATAATAATATGATATATAATAGTATTAGAGTAGTTCACTTACAGTATATTATAATAATAATAATAAAGAAAATAAATGTTTAACATAAATAATAATGTTGACAATGATAGTATCTTAAATGAAAATTAAAAAAACTAAGATAAATCAATGTAGATGCAAAATATAGGCTTACTTGCATAAATAAAAAGTGATTTATTTGTAGGTGTATTGACAGATTAAGTGTTGAAGCAGTGTTTGTTTGACTTCTCCTTGTTACCAGGGTTGACTCATGTGGTGATTCAGCTCTTCTCATCAGTGTTCATCTCTATTAAAGGATTAATGGAGAACTCACAGACCAATCTCTGCTTGTTTGCTACACAGTCTCCATATCCTACATTACTGTAGCCTTGAGCAAAAAGGTGTGAATAAAAACATGGCTTAAAATGAAATCATGCCTATACTTGAGCATCAGTACTTGGCTATCTGATATTCCACACCGTAGGGAACAGGGATTTTTTTTTACATTTTAAAAGGGTGAATCCTGCAGGGCGGGGAGTTTAAGATAATTGATGTCTGTGAGTCAGCAGAGTGTTTTCTGTGCTTTTCAACTTTTGAATAGTTGACATGAAATACTGCTCCAACACAGTGTGGGTTCGAAGCTAGAGGCTATGTGAGACACTGAGTGAAGATGCCAGCTTTTCATAATGCAGGTGTTGCTTATCACAGATATATACTGTAAATCCACATTGTGTTTTTATGAAGGCTGATCATGTTTTAAAGATGCACATCAGGGTCAGCTGCATACTATTAAACCTTTAAATTCGATACTCAGTTTGCTATTGAAATAGATGAGATTATACCATGGACTAATGAGGTTGACTGCAGTGGTGTCCCTTGATTTGGTTTAACTGAAAGAGTGTTTTGCATTCTGGGTTAGTAGGTCATTTTTTTCCCTGTTTCTCTATCTGCTGTCTGTTTTGGAAATGTTCCTTTTATGTGGTGCCAATTTATTTTCTGCAAAAATGTTTCTAAATGGATAATGATAAAAGAGAGCAGTAAAATAATGTTTTGCACATGACCTTTCTGCACTGCCTTATTGGAATCTAATATTGCAGGATGTGCCTGAGTTGATATGGTAAAGTGAACTCAAACACACAAATAAAAATAAATCAACAATAGTAGTTCATTACGTTGGAAATAGTGACAAACCAAAGCAAATTTACACAAACAGAACAAGTGTAGTCTTAAGAACGAGCTTATTGTTTTGAATAATTCTATATAAACACAGGCCATTCAAAACATTTATAGTACAATAACTTCTTTCTGTACCCAAATCTTGTTTTAGCTCAGGTTGAGTTAACTGTTAGATAAGCAGGAGAGTAGAAAATAACAAAATAAGTAAAAAATGAATCCTTACATGTGCAGTCCAAAAATGTGCCTGCATCACTTTCTCTCAGCCAAGTATTCAGGTAAATAAATCCAGATGAAATCTTTTGTGAGGCCACACAAAAAGGGCCTTCCTGGAATGTGTTATCTTAACCAGCTTAACTTGGAACAAGACAGGAGTTCCATGAAAAATGAACCTCAGCTTTGTCTCTTTAAAGCTCTCAAAACAAAATATAAAGTTGAGTTAGTCTCTAGAGTTTTCCTATACGTTATCTTTCACAGTTTACAATAAATAAAAGCAACGTGACTGGCATGAAGTTTTGCCCGCGGGAGGTTTGAGCAGACACAGATGAAGCTAACAGATACCTTTATAAACCACAGAAGAAAAGTTATCTATTCCATCAGTTTTTGTAATGCAGCATGATGAGTGATGTCTTCATGTTCATCTGTAAAGATCTTGTGGTTTCTTTACACTACCTGTTCTGCCAAGGTTCACTTCCACAATCCATAATAACTGTGTTCATGTTGCAAACCTTGAATGATTAAGTTCTTTGCTATGCACCACACTTGCTGTATACTAATTTTTGGCACATATTAAACAAACACATCCTTGTCCCAGAGACACAAGCCCTTATGTGGGAGAGCTGTTATCCTCAACCCAAACATGAGTGTGTTTCAGGACAAAAGGTCTGCACAAGCCAGTCAACTCCTTTTTTTTCCTCATCCTGGAATCTGTTTTGTTAAACCACCCCCTTTCTGTTAGATTTGGCATTATTTAAGCTTACACATATATGTGAGCAGAGCAGCTCCTCCTCCGTTACACTGTCCTTGGGGCCATTTGTTTTCCATCATTTGAGCAGATTGGAGTCATGCTGGCTGTGAGTCATGCACAGTGGGTGGATGCCTACACAGGGTGTGGTGGGTGAGGGATCTTGGTGGTGCTTGTGGCTGCCAGTAAAGGAATAAAGCATCCAATTTGGCTCAAAATTGAATTGCATAAATGCAAATGAATGGATAGGGAGCTTTTATAATGATCATAGAGAGTTAAAAACAGCTCCTGAGGGGGTGTTATTTTCATTCTCAGAGTAAAGAAATCTGATCCTTCAACAGCTGCACAAACATGCTGATCAGACTTTTGTTGAAATACCTGGAAGTGAGTTAAAAAAAAAGCATTGTGTGTTTGAATGCTTTTGCACAGAAAATGTGTTCAGAACAATACTTTTTGGCTATGAACCACAGTGTGTGAAACCATGTAGTTTAAATCTGTTTCCACTTCCATTGTGAGCCCCAGATGTGTTCAAGCTGCATGGATCTGCTGCACACAATAACAGCGGACCCTGAAAGATGGTTGCACGCCAGCCAGTCCATAAAAAGAAAAAAAACACACCTCCCAAATCACTCCTTCCCACCTCCTCACAAAACGTTGCCAGTTCGAAAAGTGGTGGCTGCTGCAGGAAGGGAGGAGTTCACCACTTTTTCTTTTTCAAAGTCGCCTATCTGTCGAGAGGAGTCAGCAGAGCCGAGTGAAGTTAATTGGTTCCCCCAGGCGTTGTTTTTTTTCTTTCAAATTCAACTTTTCATGCCGTCTGCTACACCTGCCTGCCAATGGGCGCGGCTGGGACCTATGCCCAAGTCTCTGTTTTGACTTGCCTGGGAAAGTTGAGCTAAAAGGCACAAAGGGACCGAGGATCGAGAAGGACATCCCACCCGCGTGTCAACTTGGTATAAACACATTATCTATCCCGTGGACGCGAACAGTCGCTCCATCTTGAGAGGAATCCGGATTTGATTGTTTATTTCTCGAGTTGGCTGAAGGTATGGATTTCACACTGGACTATCCTGGAGACTTTTTTTTTATATAAAAAAAAGTTGTTTATGTTGGATGGTGTGGGGGTTTCTTCCCACCTGGCTGTTGCATCTCTGCTCTAACTAACTGCACTCTGGGACTTTGGTGATGGGCTGTCGAGCTACTTTTTTGGCTTTATAGTATGAGTTGTTGGATGGATTTGCGCAAAGTCCCATAAAGAAAGCTACAAATACTTCATAGGTTTTCTGTTAAGCTGTAGGGAGTTTACAGGATCCCTTTTCTTCCTGTGGAATATAATCAGTCTGTTATAGTGATCTCAGGATACTTTTACATTTATTTTTGCTGTGCTATTTACATCCCTCTAAAAATATATGCCAGGAACTGACCTGGCTGCAACACCAGCTTCACCAAGCTTTTATATTTGCTGACCAGATTACTTTCAGGATATACAATAATAAATGTGTTTATGGTAAGAAGTAGGCCTAAGTGTTTTTGACACTTGTTGTTTTTATTCACTTTCACTTATGTTTTGCTTTTCTCTGCGAGGGAAGAAACTTTAAGTTTTTCAAGATTGTCGAACTTTGAACATTGTGGTGATTCAGGATTTGAAGAAAATGGAAAAAAGCCATTCTTCTGATTATTTAAGTTTTTTTAAATTTGAAAAAGTGAGGTTAGATGGTGCGGTAAATAGAGCACATGCTGTCAAATGTCCCTGGCTGGCAGGGTGTGGTGAGAGGATGATCTTTCAGAGCTGTGCAGTGACTCACCGGACCCCTTTGTCCTGTTGTTAGTCTTCAAAGACACAAAGTGAAGCCGATTGAAATCTATTGAAATGTATAGACGATGCTTTATAGCTCCTTGATCCTTCATTGTGATAATGCACTATTCAAAGTTAAACAACACTTTTAAAATACTGTATAGATGACGTTGTGTAGGCTACCTGATCTATTGTACGCCTACTACGGAATTCATGTTTTAAGATCAGTCAAATCAGAATGTTTAAAGGAAAACTTTGTCTTATTAGATTGTGGTTTCTAAAATATGATCATGTGACATTTTTCTATCTCCAGTGGAAAGACATTTCCAATTAATGCAGTAAACATTAGACTCAAGCAGCCTGATCTTGAACCCAAATCATTCCTAGAATAACGTTTTACTTTCCCCATCAGATGTTTGCTAAATATCCTTTAAACCACAGTGAAGAAATGAACAGACTTTTATTGACAGTTGGCAGAGAACATGCATGACAGTGGTCAACATTTTATCATCTCACCAGATAAAATGGGATGGACGAGTTAACAAGACAGATCGACTTCTCAGGAGGCTTGTCAGGAGAAAGGGGTGAGATTTCTGAATTTATTTCTGAAGTTTTTGAAACAAGTCCACCGGAAAAACACAAGGTAAAGGGTTGGTTAATCCAAATCACAAAAGAAAGAAAGAAAGAAAAGAATGTCACACCTGTAGCTTCAGATGTAAGCAGACATTTGGGTTTTTATTTGCAGAGTTTAGAAACGCCACACAACTGCTCTGGCCACGCAAACAAAATGGAAACTTTTCCATAAACAACACGGTTTATACAAATAAAATGATACAATATTAAAGTTCAAAGAAAGATTGGCAATGTGTTACTCTGCATCTAAAGGCCAAAACCCTCTGAACTTTCTTGGGTGATGCTTTTGTCTTTCTTTTTTAGGTGGCTTACTATCACTAACAAAATGGCATGCCTTGCCTGGTGTCAGTTTCCATTTCTGATCCTTGCTCTCAGGGTGTAAGTCATCCTCTGGGTTTTCCTAAAGTTATAACTGGCTCCTCTTGGCCTAATGACTTTTGACACAGAGGGGTATGGTGAAGCCAAGAAAACGCTTGATTATATGTCTGACTCAGAGAAACTCAGAGAAACATATAATCACCCATCCTGGTGTCCCCATGTTCTTCCCCTGTTTTATGTCATTTCTAAAAGAAGGTTAGTTAAGTTTGAACATGTGTCACTTTTCAAACCAGTTGGTACAAAGTACTTAAAAAAAGAATTTGAAGGTCAGAGATAAAAGGCGGCGATATGACAATAATTTGGTTTGGACACAATATACAAAGTTGATAGATCATTTAAAAGAAAGCCAAAACAAGTCAATTTAAGATTACTTTTATGGCCCGATTTGGCTTCACTGACTTTGGTGAGTGTTTCAAAGTCGAGGAGCAACAGAACAGAAGCAAAAGCATGATCATCTGTAGTGTTTAGTCTTGACTCTGAAACACACACAAGTCCCTAAAAGGAAGGATACAAAGGAAGAGGAGTGGGAGGACAGGAGCTAGGCAGCATGAAATTGTATTGGAATTTACATTATCTGCAACCATTAAAACTCAACATGCTGAGAACAAGACGCCTCCTAGTGGACTGAAGGTGTTATTCGTACCCATTTCGTTATAAACATGACATGATTAGCACACATTTTATTTGTTGAATTTGAGGCCTTTTGTTTATATGTTGTCAATGGTTTAACTGCCTTCTGAGAGGAAGGGGACAAACATATACACTAATAAAAAGTTAAGTTTAGGATAGTGACCTTTAAAATAGTATCTCAGCACAAAGACCAACTTACTGGAGATGTTCCAGGACATTCTTTAAAACTGTTGAGCTGTTGCTCCATGTCTTGTGATAAAAAATTAACCATCTACATGACAGCGGAGCAAGATAAAGCCTTACGTTCTGAGGAAAAGGGACGTTTTTCTTTTTGGTTAAAGTAAAAACATCCTTTGACCCCCCCCCCCCCAGAAAAGTCTGATACATCAGACAATTTCACTGTTACAGACACTGTGATTAATGAGTTATTGTCAAGAGAATGTATTAAATCATCCAAATGAACCTGAAATGTAATATGACGGACTAATCTTTCAAAACAGAAAAAACGTTATTAAATACATTCAGAAACATCGGTACCGCTTTTTAATTAGCATTTTTTATAAAAGCTTGATAAGAATCAGAATCCAGTTTATTAGTAGGTGTTCACATACAAGGGATTTTACAGAAACAGAAATAAAGAATATGGAAACATGATACAAAACTTTGAAATTAGTATTTCAAATTAAATAAATACAAGGAGATTTTTGAAATAGAAAAGGACAATTCATGAATGTGCAAACACATTTTTCTGGTGTTTTACAAAGTTAAGAGAAGTAAGAATACAAATCTTGAAAAATATGCGATGAAAGACTTTTAAATGGATAATAAATTATATATGGGACTAATGCTTTATTTCATAGTTATAGACCATTGATAGGAGGATTTTTTTAGGTTGGGCTGTTGCTGAAAATCTGTCTGGTGAGTCATATACAGTCAAGGTTACTTTAGGCCAGGAAGGTCTCACTTTCTCATAATCCATCAAGTCTGAAGTAATACCTAGTTAGTAAGTCATTATCTACTTTATCACTGTTGAGTAAGGGTTCTTATAAGGATTATATTATTCACTTTTTAAGCATTTTCTTTTTTAAATATGTAAATAACTTAATTAAACTGAGTGTTATCCTATAGTTTAGAGGTTGAATTATCCAAAGCAACTGTCCTGCTGTATGAGGCTACACACCAATATTAATGGCCTTTACTAATATATTTAGCACTCTTAAGGAAAGATGTGTTATCTTTTTTTAAAGCTGTTAGTAATTATGTTAACCCTCTATTAGAAGAAGTTATTTAAAGTTGAACTACAGCGCAACAAGGCGGTAAATCCGTCAGCACCGTCATCATATGAGTATCATCATATCAATCGAAGTCACATTAGTTAACCTCCAGAGGCGTTAAACTCGTCACCATGCCAGTCACTCAACACCCGCCCACTAGGTTACTGCTGATAACTCTCTCTATACAGAAATAATGTCTAATTTCTCTCATGTGCTCAGTTGTGACAGAAACAGTAACCTCAACCACCAGACTGTCTTCTCTGCCACCAAGTGAGTCTCTTTCTTCCAGTCATGCTTGCCTTGATGATAAACTTAACACATAATACTATAATTATAGCCCAGCATTTCTGAAGGAATTACCCGTTGAGTAACAGCTTCCTCATGTTTTGCTTTGTGTCTTCTCGTTGCTAGAGGGAATCAGCGGATCAAATCACAGGAATATGTCCAGCGGTGCTGGAGGGCTGGGCTTGGAGAAGAATGTCTTAACCCAGAACAGCAGTGGAACTTATTTCTCCTCATGTGAGAGCAAATTTCCACTCATGGTTTAAAACTGGGAAGTTGTGGGTTTTGTCTTGGGACACATTTTGAGAAGCTGAATGTTTTTATTTGGTTTCCCCAGCAAAAAGAAAGAGAAGTACTCATTTAGATTTGTTTCACATCACTTTCCGTTGTTCTACATTTTAATTATGTTTTCAAGCACTAAAGATCTTTCAAATAAATTACACTACCCGACGGTATGTAAATAATTAGCTAATTAACCAAAAACTACACTGACGGAAGATTAAATATGATTAAGGGAAAGTTTTAATGATTAGTTTGGTCAGTTTGAATGCAAAAGTATGGAAAACAAGAAATGAGACCAGCTTGTCAAATGTAATTTCCATTTTTTCATTATTATCATTATTATTTTTTATTAATTACATTTTTGGTTTTTTAATTATTATTTTAATTTTTTTCTTTGTATTATTTCATTATTATTATTTTATTATTATTATATATTTTTTAAATGTTGTGTTAGATTTTCCGATAGTTAGACATAAACCCAGCAATCATTTAAAAAGGAAAATATGATTTACATTTTTTTCTAGAGGTTAGTATAAAGTTAGTATAAAGTACATACGGATAGAACAGTTACCCATAATAAATCAACAACTAAATAGTTTGATATATGGATCAGTGCTTCCGGTCCAGATGAGATTATCTATGCAAATCAGAATCAAGTTGTTTCAGAGAAACAAGTGTCTACTAGATCTTTCCGGGAAATTCCTATAAGAGTGTTAGCAAATAACAGTGCAATTTGATCTCCTGGCACGGGGTATACATAGCATGGTCCCTTTTATGACCCTGTCTTGTCTAAGCATGTGAACTTTCTTACATCTGATTTAATGCCCAGACTTCAAGCGCAATACTTATAATTAGACAACCCTATAATCATTTACCACTCTTTTACTGCAGTGTTAGTTAGTTTAATGCGCAATCCATCATATCGTATTTTAGGTTTTTTTTATACTTGGAAGGCGCACATATGTCATTACTCTTAAATAAACAAGTAGAGATGTATTGTAACATGTTTGAGCAAATTGCTTTTCTCTGCCTGTGGTCTTTGGAAGGTAGGTAGAAGAATAAAAAAAACAGAACAAAACTAAACTAAAATAGTAGAAAAAAGCTTTGTTTTGTATGAGAACATCGGTAAAGTCCCTTCAGATACAGTATAGGGCAGTAAAAGAGAAATATTTCCCTCTGGCATGAATTGGAGTTGTAAAAAGATGCTAAGTAAAAAAATAGCATTAAAGGGGAATTCTCATGTCAAACACAAGTATGTAAAAGCACTTAAAATCCTAACCCTTCATGACTCAGGCACATTCCTGTCCTGTGGAGGTGATTCAGTTTCAGGAAAAATAAAAATAGCTTGTATGCCTCATCCCTGCAGCCTCTGGAGGAGTGAACGCCAGCAGCTTCAGCTCCTCCTCGGGAGTTTACCTCGGGGGAGACTCCTCGGGAGGTGATGGAGGAGGGATCTTCATAGACGGAGAGGGGTATGGAAGAAGAGGAGGAGGAGGAGGAGGAGGAGGAGGAGGAGGAGGAGGAGGAGGAACTGGAGGAGGTGGAGGAGGTGGAGGCAGAGGCGGCAGTTATCTCGTGAGCTCGGTGTCAAAGGTCAGGTCGAGCTCGTCTGGCGGTGTCAGGAGAACTGCAGGCTCATCAGGAGGCCTGTCGCCATCTTCCCGGGAGAGGAAGGTCACATCCAGCCGCTCAGGAGGCTATGATGGTGAGATCCTGTTAATAGAACAAACTTGGCATTGGGGGTGTCTGAAACAGAAGTTTTAAGGAAACTGAGGTACACGAGGGCGCTGTTAATATCTCTGCTGCCATTGTGTTTGCTTGTAGGAAGTTCCAGCGCTAATTCCTCCCCAGAGTTTGCACGCAAAGATTATGGAGTCTATTGTAAGTGAATGGGATTATATACTTTCTTATAACAGTATTTTTCCAGCTTCATCCTCTTGGCGTGTCTGTGTGTGTGTGTGTGTTTATGTTTTTTTTCCCCTTCTTCTGTGTGTTTTCTCTCCAGGTTCCAGCACCCAAAGAGGGAGGAGCGAAAGCAGAGGTATTTAATAATAGTTTTATTTCTTCCCTCCTCTTCCCTTCATTATTTTCTGGACCATCTGACTCTGAATTGTTCTGGCTTACTGTTTTATTGAATCAGGATTCCTTTGTCCATTGTGTGTGTGTGTGTGATTTTTTTCCAGAAAGCGAGATCAGAGCCAGATTACAGAGCGCCTCTCCCAGTGCCAGCAGATGTAAGAGCACTTGAGACACATTCATCTATTCACTGTTCGTTATGCAATCCCTCATAAAACAACAAAACATCTTTATTTGATGCGCTCTAAGCAGCACATGGGTAGTGAAAAACTTTTACTGCAGTTTCTCAGAACAGAATTTTTTTCTGGGTTACGTTACTGTCAAATGCTTTGGCTCAACACAGGATCTCACCGACCCTTCACCTTTATCTCCATGAAATATCAATTAGTAACACATCTGCCCTTCCCTCAGATAATGTACAATACAGAAGCACAAAGAAAAGCGTGAGATTTAAACAAGGAGGATCATGGGTTTGTTTGCATTGTGTGTATGTGGGGAATAAGTCATGGCGCAGATTTGTGGTGGCAACAATGGCACACATGAGTCACTGTTTGCAGTACCGCCCGTTTGAGGCTAAACCGAGGAGAGTGAGAAATCTACAGACGCTGATCGCTCCCCCTGCTGACATAAATTCATAATGCGATTTTTTAATCCACAGTTTTTAACATTTAGTCATTCTGTGACACCTTCATCCCATGTCAGCCCCTGGGAATGAAATAGTAATGTACATTTCGTACAATATTTGTAAAGTCCATTTGATTCTACTTTATACTTCGAGTTCACTACTTCCCAATGGGAAATATTAATTGATTGGCAAACAACACTTACTCTTAAACTCTTAGAAACACACAGGATTCCCCCTATGTGATGCCTTTTACACAAAAACTACCCAGCAGTAACCATATAAAAAGTAAACTTCCACTACACTACAAAAGGTACGATATAAAATGTATTGCACCCGTTATAATAAACCATTAATCAAATCACTCTAACACATACTTGCCAACTCTCCCGATTTTCGCCGGAGACTCCCGATTTCATAGCCCTCTCCCGGTTTCCTCCCGGGGTCATATTTCTCCCGCATTTCTCCCTATTTCTGACTAAATCAGATTTACACACGACTGTTTCCACTCGGACTTTAATACAGCTACACCATTGTTTGATTTCCATGGTAACGCGTCTCTTTAGCAGCATGCGCAACTAGATAGTCACAGAAAAACAGAACAAGAATCGACAACTCGACCCTCTGCTCACTCACTCCTTTCCTGGTCCAGCCCACACATACAGTATGCTCCATCAAGGATGGTGCTACAGGCCGCAAGGCATTGCACTCAGAACTACAACAAGCATGTTAATGTTAATCTAACAGCTCCGTCGATCCACTAGCAACCCCCCACACCCACATATAGGTAGTAAAAGTAAAAAATGGTATCACTAAGAACTGCTT